TATTCAAGCCAGAAGCTGTAACTCTGCATGCTGTTTGCCTAAAAAAAAACAAGCAGTCTGCTGACATCATCAGAAGTGGTAGCCTGATCCAATCACAGTGCTTCCCCATAGGATTGGCTGAGACTGACAAAGAGGCAGATCAGGGGCAGAGCCAGCATGATTCAAACACAGCCCTGGCCAATCAGCATCTCCTCATAGAGATGAACTGAATCAATGAATCTCTATGAGGAAAGTTCAGTGTCTGCATGCAGAGGGAGGAGATACTGAATCACATGATGCTGTGCACAGTGCTGCCCTGTGCTCTGCTGACAGCAGATCTGAGTGGATTGAGGCGTTTTATGCCTCAATCAACTCAGAAGTCCCCTGGTGGCATTCCGAGTGACTGCAACTGGAGGTGTTCCTAGCTTTTAATGTAAACACTGTATTTTCTCAGAAAATACAGTGTTTACACGAGAAAGGCGGCAGGGAGCTATAGTTCTCACCTGAACAACCTCATTAAGCTGAAGTTGTTCAGGTGACTATAATGTCCCTTTAACCTTTAAATTGGAGATAGTCCTGGTCCCATTAAGTTCTTTTCAAGGGTTTACTAGAGTGAGGCTTACAAGGGAGAGGAGTATAAAACACACTTCTGCAGCAATGCCATATATTGATGCTGACATTTCCCATGATGCTGTGCATATGGTACCAAGTACAGCTCAGCATCATAGGATACTGGGAGATTTACATTGAATGCCATGTCGTGCCTTCACAGCTCCATATACATAGTAATAACAAAATTAAGAAATATTTTGATCCACCAATTAAATAAAGCAACATAATATTACAAAACCTGACTAACAGGGTTATTCATTCAAGTTTGAATTGACATGAATGCAAAGTGGGTTTTAAATTTTAGGCTGAAACAGCTGTGCCCCTGGAAACAACAAGTGACTTGGAGAATTTTTCACAATTTGCTTTTTAGCCTAAACGCCATTTTTCCAGGGTTCTTATTATTCTGCAATCTGTCAGGATGGGATAACAAGTTCTTCCTGAGAATCCATGCGTTATTCACTAAGGTGTGAATTCCTGCTAATTCAAAGTGGCTTTCAAATTTAAGGCTAAATTAGTAGACAATGGGAAAAAAATCTGCTTGCCAGATTTGCATCCAGGTCATCTGCTTTGGCCTAAAACCTGAAATTAACTTTGTATTCACTTTGAATTTACAGATATCCACAATAGTGAATATCCCTTCCAGTGTGAAATTAATTCATGAATTCACCGCAGCCGGGACCCTTAAAGGAACCACTGTGACGGATTATCTAATTTCAGGAGCACACTGGGTACCAGTTATTGCCGGGCAGCACTTTTATCCCCAACCAAACAGATTGAAGAATTCACAGACAGACATTCTGAAAAAAAATTAAAATAAAATGTGTTGCAACCATTCCTTTGGCACCGACTAAGACTGATGTATCGCGCAGACGGAGAAGGTGTGGGAGATGCACCAGACTGACTGGAGATTTTGCAGGACAGATGCTGAGCAAATATACTGAGTCTGACGCTTAATTGCAAACCCTAATATATTTCTCATTAATATTGTATAACCGGTCTACAGAGAGCTTTCCTTATACATGCATTTATGTGATAGAGTGGTTTTAGGGGATTTTAGGATATTCATTTCAGTTCCTACACTCCCTCCCCCTTCTGATTCTTAACCTCATCACGCCCAGATTTAGGCAAATCCCTTGCTATTAAGACAATCCCTATATGTCATTAGTGCTTAAGGGGTTAATATGTGTAATTTAAGGAGAACTATGTACAGCAGTGAGATAATTATTTGTCCAGATAACATTATCTCACTCTGCATCCCCTGGGATTTACCAAAACCATACTAGCTTAGGAGAGAGCTAAATCAATCAAGGTTATTGATTTAACCATTCGTATATAGCACCATTGTCCAAAGAGCTGGCGTAATTAAATAAATGTATATTATAGGCGTACAGTCTGATTAAAATAATACCAACAATAATTATTATAATGCCAACATATTCTGCAGCGCTGTACAAGATCTCCCTTGCAAACATCCTATTGAAAGCATGCAAACTCCACATTAAGCAGCATATTGATAATATATATAATAAAATATGGTGCTTCCCATCCGCTAGTCACATAGTTAGAGCAATTTATTTTCAATTCGCCCCCTTGTACATTGCAGTCATTTATGATAATAAATCACAGACTTATACTTTAGGAAGAGTAGATATTAGAAGGATTAGAAGAAGGTGCAGGATGGTAATAGAATATGTTATGGGCTATGCACTAAACAGTGATCTACAGTTATCCGATCATTGAATTACAAGATTTATGTCAAAATAGCGTAAAAATAATTATACAATTAAGAATTTTGCTTATTTGGCTAAAATTGATTGTCTATTCCCTACAAATATCATAGTGGGGGAATAAACAGCAAATTCTGAATGGCAAAACTGAGGCCACAATAGCGAAAATGTGACCATTGAATCTGGAGTATTTACCCCAATCCACTATTGTTGCAATTCCGTTTTCAATTCACTATTTAGTGAATAACCCCCAAAAACTTGTTTGGTGAATTACCCCTTTGTTATCTAGTAAGATTATTCTTTCCTACACTTCAGTTCTACATGAAATGTGATTTATTCAGTTCAGATGATAAGAACTCACAATTTATAATAGTTATAGCCACTTTTCATCTAGTAAAGAGTAGAGCACATGGCATTGAATAAAATAGATATTAAATCATTTATTCAATTGTTCAGTGATGTCAGACAATAACCTTTACCAAAAACCATGGCTCACAGCTGGGGCTCTAACTGCAAAACACAGCTCCCTCGCATAGCAGAGACTGCTGACTGAGAGTGCTGGGATTTGGAATCCAAATCCTACAGGAATCTGGCCAACCAAGCTTACAGTCTACACTACATTGTTCCACGTAGATAACCAGAAGTCCTGTATAATTAGAGATTCCATAATTAGACAGGAACACCCCCACACATGTAAGGAGACGTGTCCCAGGGAGTTAGCAGCTGTACCTGTCTCAGTGTTCGATAGAAGTATCCATTTAAAGTCCCAACATTCCAAACACACCCCCCATCCCTGGGGTAACATTGTTACCTTGTGCTGTGAGGTTCTGGGGACACTGGGGTCAGTCTGTTGTCTTGTCACTTGTCCAGTTAATGTCACCTGATCTCCAAATCACTGGTGGCTCTCAGGCTGTCCCATGTGCTGGTGGCTTTCTCCTCTCCCCCTGCTGATCTCCCCTTGTCCGGGTACCTTCTGTCTGTCTCTGAGAGTCTTGTCCCACCTGATAGCTTGAGCCCTGAGCTGTGGGTGTCTTCGCTGGCCTTCCTCCCGGATCTGATTGTTTGCAGGTAGCTTTCCTTCTCCAAATTGAGGTGTGTCTCCTCCACTGCAATCTCCCTCCCTCTTACTGCCAGGCTAGACACTCACCACCACTACCACCTCCTCCTCCTCCTCCCTGCAGGGCTGTCCCTTCCTGCCCCTATGTTTCCTCTCCTAGCCCCCCTCTCTGCATACTCCATTTATTGTATTTTCATTATTTCTCCAATCTCAGTCACTGATCTCTCTGGCAGATATATTAATCCTGTCTAAGAAATGCTGGTAGCATCATGCAGTCCTGTGTCACTCCATACCATGAGGGTCTATTGGGGAGCTATAACTCAGCTAATTAGATTCCAACATTGCTGAGATACTTGTCTTGTATAGACTCCATACTGACTGCAATAAAGACCCCCAGGTAATCTGATATCAAATATCACATGATATGATTTGAGTTAATTTAGGGTATGCTTCCACATCCAGAGCATACTGCCATGCTTATATTGTTGGCCTTTACTAGATGGCAATTCCAGGTATCTACTACTTTTTAAGTAAACGTATTTCCTTGCAATATATTTCTGAGTCCTGCATCCTTGTGTGTAAGTTTTTGCCCAATTCTTTTATTACTTTTTTTTACTGAAAATGTTTCAACAGAACTTTTTTTCCCTTTATTTTATTTTATTTCAGTTTACAAAAAGTGCACTTTTATAAATTAAAGCGACACTCCACTACCCAAATAAATATATATATATTGTTTTTAAAGAGCTGTTTAGTAGATATTCCACATGGAAACATATATTCATTTTATTATGTTTTTGTCTATGGGGATATCTAAAATCAGTTTGCAAAAGCCGGAGATCTCTTGTCTGCAGCCTTTGAAAACCCTCCTCTTCTAACCCTCCAGAACTTCTGTGACTGATGCAGCTCAATGAAAGTCTTTGTAAGGCAGGTGCTCTGGACAATTGCTGCCCCTTGAGTTAAGCTGCATTGAGCTAACCGAACCAAAAGTAACATTACTGGTAGTCTGTCGGAGAGCCAGGGGGGTGTAACAGGTTAATTAATATTGAAATCTGCACTTTTTGTAAAATAAAAAAAGAGGACACACTCTTTATACATAAAGCATGTCAGCAAGCTAAAGTGCTGTAAAGGGACACTCCAGGCACCCAGACCACTTCTGCCCATTGGAGTGGTCTGGGTGCCAACTCCCACAACTCTTAACCCTGCAAGTGTAATTATTGCAGTTTTTTTTATAAACTGCAATAATTACCTTGCATGGTTAACTCCACCTCTATTGGCTGTCTACTAGACAGCCACTAGAGGGCACTTCCTTCTTCGTAGCACAGAAAACCTGTGCTAGAGTGTCGCTGGACGTCCTCACACTATGTGAGGACCTCCAGCGTCGCTCAATTCCCCATAGGAAAGCATTGAAAAGCATTAGGTCTCCCCACCCGGTGGGCGGGATCAGTCTCGCCCACCAGCCGACGTAATGCAGAGGAGGAGCGGCGGCGGAGGAAGAAGCAGCGACGTGGGACATGTCGCTGCCTCTGGTAAGTGACTGAAGGGGTTTCACCCCTTCAGCTATCGGTGGATGGGAGGGAGAGGGGACCTGCAGTGCAAGGAAAACGGATTGTTTTCCTGGCACTGGAGTTCCCCTTTAAGGGTCCGGAGTGCTGCTTAATACTGCTTTAAGTTTTTTATAAATCCTTTTTCTGTTACTCGCAATAACTAATTTATATATATACACACATACATAAACACTGGTTAACCACAACGTAAAAAAACCTGTCTAATATCGTGTAGGTCCCCCTTCTGCTGCCAAAACAGCTCTAATGCGTCGAGGCATGGACTCCACGAGACCTCTGAATGTGTCCTGTGGTATCTGACACCAAGGCATTAGTAGCAGATCCTACAAGATTTGTTTTTTTAGCAAACCCCAAATATGCTAAAGGTATACCAGGGACCTAAACTGCATTTTTAACATAACAGGGTCAGGAATACACATTTGTATTCCTGATCCCATAGCGGTGGTGTATTTTGGATTTATGCTGCCCTAGGCATCACAAAACTCGGGCATTCCCTAATCTAAATTTACCCCACTCCTCTTCCTGTTTCTAAGGAAACTATAGTACCAGGAAAGTTTTTTTCCTTGCACAATAACTCCCTATAAAGCCCCCCTTTACAACTTACCTGATTCCAGTACTGATGTTCCTCAGCGCTGGTTCAGGCTCCACCTCTGCTCCTCCCCCACCATCAGCAGGTGGACTGTCTGCTGCTGGCTCCTGTGGCGGTTGTGCTGCTGGGTGGGTGGTCAATGGAAGCAGTGAGGGAGTTGTAATCTTCCTGCTCAGCTCCCTCATGTGCCGCTTAATGATGCCAGGTTACCTTATGTATCAGTTTGGAGCATGTCACAGACTGGCATCTCATTGCAGGGTACAGGGGACACTCCTAACTTTCAGCTTGTCCCTAGCAATTATCACGCCAGCCGCGATAAACCTGCCTCCTTTTATGACGCGGCTAATGAGCGCCGACGTCATGACGCTAAGAACACCACAGCCCGCCAAGGTGTTTGAACGAGAACATTTGGGGGGCGTGATTACCTACGTAAGTGAACACGATATTTAAAGAGAAACCAGGGAGAGACTCATTGCCCTGTTGTGGTTCTTGTTTGACCCAAGCGTGCGTATTCCGTATTGGTATTCTTGTATTCTGACTTTAGCTTTGTTTGACTATTCCTCCTTCTGTGTTCCTTTGACCTCAGCTATTAGATTATCGTTGATCCTGATCTCTGGTACCCCTGACCTCGGCTCGCTCTTTGACCATTCTTTGTGTGTGTAATGTTAGTCCGGCCATCCTAAGGTCCGGTATACATTACTAGTATTTGCATTCTGCGTGTATGATCCCTGAACGTTCCTGACAGCCAGAGTGTTGTAATTTTCCAGCTCCAGCATCACCGCTGAGCAAGTGAGGGAGCAAAGCAGGAAGAGCTCGGAGGACAGCACTCCCTCGTCACCCACTTACAGTATGAGCAGCCGCCAGCCTCGGGGGGCCCCATGGTGGCCAGCTCTTGGACCCCCCATTATAGAGGCTAACAAGGCATCTGCCAGGGCGCTTGGTAGGGGGTGGGGCATTTTTTTGCCGCCCCCTGAAAGTACCGCCCAAGGCTTTGTTTGTCTCATGGAAGATACAGCCCTGCCCCATAGTGTTCCTTTAATGCTGGCCATTATTGAAAGGTGTCTGAACACACAGTGCATTGCAGTTTGCTGTGTATGGGGCTCCGTAGCCACAGAATGGTCAGGTTCAGAGTGTGTTCAATGGGGACGTGAGTTTTAGAACTAGACCATGGTGCAACTGAAGAAGGTTGTCTGGTCTGATGAATCATGTTTTCTTTTAGATCAGGTGGGTGGCCTGGAGCATGTGCAATGTTTACCTAGGTAAGAGATGGCAGCAGGATGCACTATGGGGAGAAAGCAGGCCGGTGGAGGCAGTGTTATGCTCTGGGCAATGTCCTACTGGGAAACATTAGGTTCTGACATTCATGTGGATGTTACTTTTACACTTACCACCTACCTAGAGATTGTTGCAGACCAGGTGAGTTGAGCAAAACCCTAACATACCGAGAGATGTTTTGGATCTATACACTTAAGACCCTGATTCCCTCGGGAGAGGGAGTGTTTCTCAAAACCCCTTTTAATGTTGTAAACGTGTTCTCTGAGTCTAATCTTAAGTGTTCCTCTCCAATCACTTCAGAATATACCACAATGGAGACCCAACACTTCTCTCATATTGTGGTATAGAAAGGGTAGAAGTACCATGGAGAGGAGGTGAGTTGAGCAAAACCCTAACATACCGAGAGATGTTTTGGATCTATACACTTAAGACCCTGATTCCCTCGGGTCTTAATGCAGAGCTGGAATTAGCCAATATATTATAGTATAGGATTAGAACTACTACTAGTTCACATTACAAATCATGTATATAGTATTCAGCCCATTGTTTTATTTCTCTAGAGTTTAGACTAAGGTGGGAACTTATATTCCCAAGAAGTTGGGAACTCTAGATCTATATTGCTTTATTGCTGCATGCATGGATATAAATACAATTCATATATATTTTATATACATATGTTTTACTAAGTATATAAGTTTTGACTTTATATGTTAGGAGTTCTTAGAACACAACAATACAAATCATGATATTTTTTATGATCCTACTATTTTATGTACTAGACATGGTTGTGTATGCTACAAGTCTCTAAAAGCTAGCATTTTCTCCTTTTTATAGCCCTGTGGGTACTACTTGTTAGGTTTCTTATTAGATAGTAACACTTCTTATAAATTTATATACTCTGTGGTAATTTGTTAAGATTCAATTATTATTTTTTACATCACTGGTTAAGTAATACCTATGATGTTATATGAGTTTAAACATTGATATTCAGGAGTCCGATGTATTTGCATGTCTACAGCAATCACTACCGCAGTGATTGTTTTATATTTAGGATTTGTGTATGGAATTAGCAATTCAAGCATAAACTGTACCTGGTCCATATTGTGTTTTATATATTGATCTTAGAAGTACTGTGGGGAAGTAACTTGCCCTTTTTTATATGAATTGTTGCTTTTTTTAACATATGTTTTAAGAAGGGTGTATACCCTTAAGAGATTTGAATTTGCTTTACCCGGCAAGGTATAAAACTGCCGAATAATGCTCCGAGCACCCATCTTGAAAAAGCCCTCGTTAGCAGGGCGAAACGCTTTGATAGGGTGCTACAACTGTCTATCTGCCAGATCCACCAGTGGCAGATTTCACAAGTTCCTCGATAGAAGCCGGACTTTCAGCCAGCGTTACTCCATAGACTACACCACGGGCAGCCCTCCTGAGTGCACCGGAGAGCAGCTGTCTCTAAGGGAAGAACACGAGTGGCTTTGAAAGAACTTTTTCGGCAAATCTATTATGATGAGTATCATATTTTATCTAATGTAAGAGTTTTGAAGTTGGGGGGGATTTTTCTCTTTTGTATCCTGGGCAATAAACTTTTGATACAGTATCACGCTATGTATCTTTTTCTGTTTCTTTTTTCTCAAGGTATTCCCACATGCTTTTGAATTTCTACATATCACAACGTTATTTGGACTTTTTTATTGCAGGACTTTGTTACGGTATTATACATTCTGGACACTTTTTTTGCATGATTTTTCCATCTTTGCATATGTATGCACCTTTTTTATTTTTAAGGGGATTATCTATTTAGCGCTGAAATTAATATATTTGCATTTTGTTCTTTGGAATTGGGAAAATTCTTTTTGTTTTAGCAGCTATTACCGTTTGAGTACCTTGGGTACTATTTTTTTGTTTTATTCAGACCATATATAGACTATTACGTAGGTCTTTCACTTGTAATACATGCGCTCTCTTTTTGATTGTTCAGGATATAAATATAAACATTTGCAAAATGTATATCCTTATTAGGAGTATCAACTTCCAAACTTTTATAAAACATTAGAAAATAACCATTTATCTGTGGGCCGCATGAGCTACATTACCAAAGATACTACTTTGGCAACATATTTGCTAGGATCACTGAACAGAAAAGTGTTTTTCCATTATAGGTTTTGTCAGCTGCAACTTGTATTTTCCGTCTCATGGAAATGGAGCGAGAGGTCCTCGCCCATCTGACACGCACTAGAAACCTTGAAAAGTATATTATCATATGTCCTTCAAGCAGAACAGAAGGTGATCATCTGATATGAGACTGGCAGGGCATTATTTATATTATCTGTTTACGAACAGTGAAGCCAGGGTGGGTTGAGATAATTTGGGGGCCATTTGAAGTTGCAACATCAAGTAACTGACGTTGCTCATATGTAAAACGTTTTCAAGGTTTCCATCGTTTTTTCCATTCGATGTAACGTAACACAATATTTTAAGCAATTTACTAGACAGGAAATTGTGCAAAATCCCTAATGTTATGCCAATGTAGATGCACTTGAACTATTCTACAAACCAGGTATTTTTCCTGGCCTATTCCTGGTTTACTGAATAGTATGTTCTAGGTTGGGGAAGTTTATCCTGGGATTAGAGCAGGGTACACTTATTTTTCTATTTAAATTATGACTGTGTAGGACTGAACATGTGAGTTATATAGGACATACACAATTACGGACTTATTGCTCAAGGCATGAGGACCTCCTCTCCAGGAGAGGGCCACACTTCTCTAGATTTCCCATAGTTGCAGGTAACAGATAAGACAGGTGTCAGTCTACACCTTGTGGGCCCCTCTGCCCTTAAGAATCTTTCTATTCCCCCATGGACCCGCCGGCCCGGTGCATCCGGGGGCCCACACAGTAAAGAGGCCCATCGTGTAGCCCATGCACTTTGGGCCACCCGGTAGGCATGTATAAGCAGGGGTCCCCTTGCTTCTCGGCAGTGCTGGGAGGAAGTGACAGCCGCAAGTCACTTCCTCCCAGAGAGAAAGCAGTCGCACATGAGGGAGAAGGAGGAGGCAGTGAAGAGGGGGTTACAGATACAGACCCCAACTTCCAACAGCCTCAGGCATCACACTGGACCCCACAAAGCCACCCTCCAGCAAAAGGTAGGAAACTGGAGGGTAGGTTAACAAATGTAAATATTGTTTTTATGTCTGTGTGTGTTTGTGTGTGTCAGTATGTCTTTTAGTGTATGTTTGTGGGTGTGTCAGTTTGTTTGTGTGTGTGTCAGTATGGCTATGAGTGTATGTGTCAGTATGTCTGTGTGTTTGTGATAGTATGTCTGTCAGTGTATGTGTATGTCTGTGTCAGTGTGTGTGTGTCTCAGTACGTTTGTCAGTGTATGAGTCTGTGTGTGTCAGTTTGACTGTCAGTGTTTGTATCTGTGTGTTAGTATGTCTGACAGTATGTGTCTGTGTATATGTGTGTGTATCTGTATATTGTCATTGTGTGTGTACATATATATCTGTTTGTAGTCAGTGTATGTACCTGTGTATCTGTATGTAGTCAGTGTGTGTATATCTGTATGTAGTCCGTGTGTATCTGTGAATCTGCATGTGTCAGTGTGTGTATCTCTTTGTCTGAGTATCTGCATGTGTGTCAGTGTGTTTATCTGTTTTGTCTGTATCTACATCGGTATGTCTGTATATCAGCATGTGTGTCAGTGTGTATATCTGTGCATCTGCATGTGTTTGTGTGTGTGTGTATCACAGTGTGTGTGGCAGTGTATGTGTACATGTATCTACAGCTCAGCATTCAAATGCACACACTACACACAAATACACCCCTGCATTCAAACGTCAACACTACATACAAACACACCTCTGTGTTAAACACCAAAATTATATATAAACAACTCTGCATTCAAAAACCAACACTACACATAAATGCATGCTTGCATTCAAACGCCAACACTGCATTCAAAAGTCAACACCACATACAAACACACCCCTAAATTCACACAAACATACTCCATAGTAAACATGCTTACATTCACACACACAGCTCAGTGCTATATACAACCCTGCAGGCATGGGAAACTGGTATTGCACCAGGGCCCTTTCTACTTTAGTTCTGCCACTGCGTTGGGGTGGATGGTGTAATTGCATGCAGGGCAGAACTAAAGTAAAATGCTTGCCCGGGGTCCGATAAATCTTAGACGGCCCTGTGGACACCCCTGCTCTAGCTCATTTAAAGGAATACTACAATATTAGGAATATAAACTTACTTTAGACAACCCGCCGGTCTATCAAAGTTGGCAGTTGTAAATTTGAGATCGTTTAGTTACAGAACTAGGCAATAACTAACTAAACTGCATGGTATAGGAACATTCCATCTCAATGGAAACATTTAAAAGGACACTCTTTGAATTGGTTATAGTGCTTGGAGTCTCCCGGCACTGCCCCTTCATTCATTGTTAAACTAATAACTACAGGTTACTGTAATATTACAGCTTATTGTCGTGGTTATGGTGCTAGGAGGCAGTGCAGTTTGCTTGTTATATTGTTAACCGGTTTTAATGTGTTTTGCCAAAAGCTGAGGAAGCCCAACCCCCTATCAGGAAGTGTTATGATGAGGAATTATGACTTCCTTCTTATCTGTCCAAGTTCATGTACAGTGTCAGCACACAGTGAAGCCACCTGGAATGTAGTAAAAAAACAACAACATTAAACTGATATAAATAAACTATGCTTTTTAGGTTTTTTGGCATCATATACTCATTTACTTCCCTGATGTGGCAGAGTGATTTCCCATACTTAATTGGTAAAACTCTTATTTTTCAAAGTAAAAATTACAGTAAATACGAATTTCCTTCACCCTCCATGAAAACAATATATAGCATTTCAGTAGAAATACTGTTATAGTAACTCCACGCTGCCCCCTCTTGGCAGCTTTAATGTATGACCCGGACTATCAGTTGGGAATGCTGGCCTATGTAATAAAATACTCTCATATCGAGCAGTTGCCTTCCTAATGTATTCCCACAGTGGCTGGGTCCAGCAAGTCAACCCACAGGGAGTCACCTCAGGCCAAGAGCACAAAGCTTCTAAACATTCCTACATTTACCTTTTATAGGGTGAAATATTTCCAAAAGAAACTGCAGTACTCCGTAAAGAAGGTTACATTAAACAAAGCTATATCTACCCAGTTGTTTGAAATACCCTTTAATTCACAGATTTTACTATTAGCATGACGTAAAGTCATGATTTTATTAACGACACGGAGGCGAGTATTATGCTGCACTCTTTCTTTATTTTCCCTCAGCAGCAAAGAAAAATTTTTTAAAAACGTAATCAAAGTTAACAATAAACAGTCTGAGAGGAGTATCCTAGCAACAGGAACAGCCAATCGGATTCCACTCTCCAGCATAATAGGCTCTGTGAACCAATCCAATTCCTCTTGATTTGCGATCCCGAAGTAGTGTAATCATCCAGTCCAGACAAGAGAACCGTGTAACAAGGGAACTTCCAATGACCTGAAGAAGGTTAAGCTGTAAGACAAGGAGAAATATGGTAATATCTTTGTATTAAACTGGATGTCCACATAACTACTAATATGTCCCATGTCACGACATTTGTTTAAGAAGTCTGAGCAGTTAAGTGGAGTATTGGCAAGCCTAATGCGTATCAATCTCAAACTACTAGGACTTACCTTGAAATCAACTTACCCATATTCCATCCTTCCTTGGGATGGGAGGGAGGGATAATACTCGCCTCCGTGTCGTTAATAAAATCATGACTTTACGTCATGCTAATAGTAAAATCTGTGAATTTTATTAAGACACGGAGGCTCCTATTATGCTGGTTTAAAGCTGGGAAATTATAGATCCCGCGAAGTGTTGAATGGGTTTAAAGTAGAAATCCCTGAAAGTCGATTCTGAGGACCAGTCAGCTGCCTTCAAAATGTCTTCCAGTCGACAACCGATCATGGAGGCTCTGGAAGCCATCGCTCCTCGCACTGAGTGAGGTAAGAATAGTGAAGTGTCGATGCCTGCTATGGACATCATCCATTTGACCCATCGCGCCAGGGTTGGGGTAGACACCGGTAGGTGAGGTTTCTGGAAGGATATGAAAAGCTCTTGTTTTGTCATGTCCCGAAATGTGGAGGTGCGGAGCTCATAGGATTGTAAGCACTTGACTGGGCATAAGAGCGGTCTGTCGGGGAACGCTGGGTATGACACCGACTTCGAGGACGTCTTCGTTCTGCGAGAGATATCGAAGGTGACCCCCTCTGGGGTGTAGGAGCGTGCGGTAATGTCCAGAGCTCTGACATCGGATACCCTTTTGCAAGAAATGAGGCAGAGAAGTATAGCCAGCTTGGCCGACAATTGTTTCAGGGACAGTTGTGCATTGTCCGGCCATGATTCAATGAATTTTAGAACGACGGAGACGTCCCATAACATCGAATATCGTGGGAGCGGGGGTCGGGTGAATTTAATGCCACGTAGGAGTTTACATATCAACGGGTGTCGTCCAATCGGGACACCCGCAGTCCCCTGGTGTGCCGCTGAAATGGCCGAGCGGTATAGGTTCACTGTACGATAGGCCTTGCCATCCTCAAACAGGGACGTGAGGAAGTGGAGGATATCACTCACAGGAGCTGATATGGGATCCAAGTCTCGTTCCAGGCACCAATCACGCCATTTGCCCCATGAAGACTTATAAGCCTGTCTTGTGCCGGGTGCCCATGCGTTCTCGAGAAGGCGGAGAGTCGATTCCGAAACTCCCTCGATTGCCCAAGGTCCCCTGAAATTAGCCACGCTGTTAGCCGTAGCAGATCCTGCTGCACCAGGGGGTGGGGGGCCCCATCTGGGTCCTGCAGTAAATAAATGGAGTGTGGGAGAATTCGAGGCACGTCCACCGCCATCTCCAGGAGGGGAGGGAACCAAGGTTGGGAGGGCCATAACGGTGCGACAAGCACCAGGGTTCCCGACTGTCGTCGTAACTGTAGGAGGCAGCGAGGAATCAGTGCAAACGGTGGAAAGGCATAATTCCTTGTGGACGACCAATCCTGCGTGAACGCATCTGTCGCTAGCGATGCTGGGTCCGGCCTCCAGCTGAAAAATCGGGGAAGTTGCGCATTTAAGCGGGAGGCAAACAGGTCTTTGTCCATGGGGCCCCATATTGTTTGAATAGTTCGGAATACCTTGGGGTCCAATTGCCAATCGCTGGCGTCCCGGAGGTGTCGTGAATACCAATCTGCCGTGGTGTTGCAGAGCCCGGGAATATACTCCGCTGTCACAGAAATGCCTTGAGTCAGGCAAAACTGCCAAAAATCTCGTGCCATGTTCGCCAGGACCTTTGACTTCGTGCCCCCCAGATGGTTGATATATCGGACTGCCGATATATTGTCCATCTTCAGAAGGATAGAGCATTGTACCAGGGTCGGTGAAAAACTGCGGATCGCAAAGGATCCTGCCAGGAGTTCCAGGCAATTGATGTGGAGTGTAGCTTCGCTGTTGGACCACCTGCCACCTGTAGAGATGTCTCCACAGCGAGCACCCCAGCCGTGTAAACTCGCGTCTGATTCTATTACCAGATCTGGTGCGGTGCCAAAAATGGCTCGACCATTCCAGGCTTCCATATGGTAGAGCCACCATGTCAGTTCGTCCTTCGCTTCCGAGTTCAGAGTGATCAGATCTGTGTAGGCGACCCCGTCTCTCAGGTTGGCAGCGTGAAGGCGTTGTAACGCCCGGTAGTGGAGCGGCCCCGGGAAGATGGCTTGTATGGAGGCCGCCAGGAGGCCAATCACCCTTGCCAACTGTTTGAGGGACAGCTGAGGAGCTGCCAGGGAGCGTTTGATTTCCTTTTTGATATTGTTCAGTTTCGACATCGGTAGATGTAGGGTCTGAGACGTGGAGTCTACGATGAGACCCAAGAACTCTATGTGTCGAGTGGGAGTCAAGATGGATTTGTCCCAATTGATGAGGAAGCCCAAGTTCTGTAATAGGGTCTGAGTCCAGTTCAAATGGGTCCGTGCAATTTGGGCGGATTGGCCCATAATGAGGATGTCGTCCAGATAGATTATAAGACGCACTCCTCGGCTCCGAAGAAAGGCCGTCACGGGCTTCATGAGTTTGGTGAAGCACCACGGGGCCGATGACAGCCCGAAAGGGAGACAGGTGAACCTCCACTTCTTGCCCTGCCAGATGAATTGCAGGAAATCCTGATGGTGCCGGGCGATCAGCACTGTAAGATAAGCGTCTTTGAGATCCAGTTTCACCATCCAATCCGCTGGTTGGAGGAGATCTCTTAGACAATGTATTCCTTCCATTTTGAAATGGTTGTAAGAGACGTAAGTGTTGAGTTGTTTCAGATTGATCACTGGGCGGACCCCGCCGCCTTTCTTGGCAACCAGGAACAGGTTGCTGACATAACCTGTCGTGGCCATTGGGATTTCTGAAATGGCCTTTTTGTGGTGTAAGTCTGAAACTTCCTGGGTGACCAGGGTCTTGTCTGCTAGGGAAAAAGACATTTCTCGTGGTTGGGAGAATTGCACGGGTAGGGACAGGAAATCTATTGTATATCCTGTTATGGTGTTTAGCACCCAAGAATCTGACGATATGCAAGCCCACATGTGGGAAAAATGTCGGAGTCTGCCCCCCACTGCCCATAGGGAAGAACGTAAATGGAGAGGACTTACCGTAAGGTCGTCGTCCGGAGTGGGCATTCCGTGGTCCACGGGCAACCCATGGCCGTCCACGCTGTGGGAAGAACGCCGGAGCGTTGCGGTGTTCTGTGAAACTGGCTCGTCCCGTATAGGAGCCTCTGTTCTGTCTAAAAGAACTTCTGTTAACACGGCCGGACAGACGGCTCCTTGCTCTTCCGGCCCCACCAAAAACCTTGGGGTGAAACACCTTGCGCATGTTGGATTGCGCCTTATCTAGGGCAGTAAATGTATGGACAAAGGAGCCCAATTCCTTGACAAAATTGTCTCCGAATAGGAGACCCTTAGCTTGGGCGCCCGGTTCGTTCAGGGCCATATTAACCAATTTCGGTTCTATTTTCAATAGTATCGCCTTGCGGCGTTCCGTGGCTATTGCCGTGTTGGCATTGCCAATCAGGCAAATAATCCGTTGGATCCATCCATTTATGGCGGCCCGATCCAACTCTTGGTCATCTTGGACCACTTCGAATATTTTGGTAGCTGGGCCCAGGATGTCCAAGACCTTGTCTTGGCAATTGCGCAGGGCAAACTCCAAGCCTTTGTTGGGCTTCCAGCCTGTCTTTCCCAAGAATTGGGTAATCTTTGGGTCAACTGCAGGTGTGCTGCAGGCATCATCTGGGACTGTGGGGCGCGGGCATTCTGCCCGTAGTTTATTCCGTGTCACCTTTTCTAAAGGCTTGCGTACCCTAGACGCTATATATTTGGCCACATGTTCTGGGGGGGACCATTCCGCCGACCGTGGGTGGCGTAAGAGGTCGGGATCAAACAGGGGTTCACCGTGTTGATCCACAATCATATCTACATCCCTTTGTGCCTTGTGGTCTACAACAGGCATGTCAGACTGGAGCGGACTGTAGTCCTGAGAATGGTCGTAGTCCCCGGCCGGGCAATCTGAGTCGGGATCCGATGGATCTTCCGAAACAACAGAAGCCTCCTCCTCAATGTCGCTGAGATCAGACTCAGAATCAACTTGGGCCCTTGCCCTTTTCCACAATCTAGCCGATTTTGCCCGGCTAGTGGCTCTTTTGCGCGGTTGTATAGACGCGCCATCTGTGACAGGTGCATGGCTGTCCATCTGTGGCATTGAGGAATGTTTCATTTTTGCCAAGGCCTTGCGGCCGGTCTGAGGTTGTAAAGGGGTTGTGACAGGCACCATCTGGGCCGAAGTCGGTTGCGCTGATTTTTGCGCCTGGATTAGGGCATGTGTAAGTGTCTGGGATATGGAATCAGACATTAGTCCCATGGCCGACATGAGGGCTTTAGTCATAGCCTGTGACATGGTGTCATCAATCAAGGTCTGCATAACAGCAGGGGTATCAAGCTCAGCGGGTGGAACCGCCATATCATCATATACACCTGAAGGTGCCTGAAAACCAGCCCTGTCAGGGTTAATAGACCCAGAGGGAGTATCCTTGTCAGAAGGCATAGTTATGACAGTGACTGACAGGATTATATATGAATCTGAAATATGATAACCTGTTGGTAACAAAAGCTATAGGGGAGGGTTGAGTAACCCTGTAGGAGGGAATCTATAATACTGGACAGAATATATGAAAGGAAAAAACAGTACAATATAATATAATAAAGTGTTCACTCATAGAATTAATACAGGTACCGTAGAGAGAGGAAAGCCGTCCGACCGTCACTAGCACTAGCTCCCAACTCAGAGTTCCGGTCTGTGGGGGGCAGTGCTAGTGGCAGAGCGCGGGAAAGCACTAAATGGCCGCCGCAATAGTGAGAAAAAATCCCGAACGGGGATGGGACAGAAGCGTTCGCATAGGCGAACGTCTGTGTCAATGGAGGAAAGCGTTCGCGGGTTAGACCGCGAGAAAACTGGAAATGTAAATTCGTGGTGCGAACGCAATGCCTAGAGTGCGTTCGCATCAAATACCCGAACGCGGGTATCTAAACAGCGGGACAGAGGTGAATGGGCGCAGGGAGGGGAGCGCGCGCGCTCGCCTCATTAACGGTCGGACGGGGTTGGGAAATAGAAAACCCCCCCGAGCACGGTGAAACTCACCGGCTCAGGGTTAAGGAAATCAGCCAAGTGACAGGCAGAAAAAACGCTAAGCTATGAGGGGATTAGTTGAAAACTTCAATAACCCTCAAAAGTTTAACCATCAAGCGCTGCTGGGTCAGCAATGACACATAATATTAAAACAAGCGATTTAAAAGAGTAGTATAGTAAAACAATTTAAAGAAGAAATATTAAATAAATAAATAAGTAACTAAATAGCAATATAAACAGCAATATAAAATGTAAAAAGCGATCCCACAGTTAAGAAACCATGGGATCTGATGTTACTTAACTGAGGGAGCAGCAAAGAAAGAGGAATTGGATTGGTTCACAGAGCCTATTATGCTGGAGAGTGGAATCCGATTGGCTGTTCCTGTTGCTAGGATACTCCTCTCAGACTGTTTATTGTTAACTTTGATTACGTTTTTAAAAAATTTTTCTTTGCTGCTGAGGGAAAATAAAGAAAGAGTGCAGCATCATAGGAGCCTCCGTGTCTTAATAAAATTAATGCTGTCATGTAAAAAACAACTTCCCTTAAAGCATTGAATAAATCATATATCACAAAGATATACAATGTATTAAATGTAAAATGTCAAGATTTATTGACGTTGCATCGTCGCCATCTTCTGATCTTGGTTGTTGGTACCCGTCATGCAACACCAACCTCCGATCTGTCCTTAGCGCCTTAGAGGGTGCAGTGTGTGAGCGCAGCTGGTGTGATGTGTGTGTTTGCAGGTGGTATAGATTGTGTGTAGTGTGTTTATAGAGGGTGTAGTGTGTGAGTGCAGATGGTGTAATGTGTGTGTATATAGGGGCGTAAATAATTATTTCCATTATTTAATTATTAAAAGAAGAACTCAATATATTGCATGGGGAGAGTCTGCTTCCTGGTGGTTCAGTTATTTGGTCTCTCCCTCTTGCAGCAACACTCTGAAACTATCGATGGTTATGAGAGGGAGAGACTGAGGCTGCCTGGCTCTCTACCTACCAGTAACTTAATATTCCCTCTGGCCAATGAAGGGATAGAGCCCTCTTAGGGCCGTACTGCCCTGCATGGGCCAGAAGAGGAGATTCTCTGACCTCCTGCTCCAGCCTCGGCCCATGGCCATTGTTGCCCACCGGGTATTTGACCGGTTTGCTCGATGGCCAGTCCAGGCCTGACCTAGGGGATCACAAGTACAATTCCATAGGCTGAAAAAAGACTTGCGTCCATTAAATTCAGCCTCTAATTTCACATTTCTTTCTGTCATGGCTCCAAAAGAAGGTAGACAACCCAGTTTAAAGCACTTTCCAATTTTTCAACAAACTAGGTAAAAAAATATTTCTCGACCCCAGAATGGCAATCGGATCACTCACTGCGTCAAAAAGTTGTTGCCCTGAGCTGCCTTACAGTCAGGTATGTTTTTTTGATTCACTAATCGCCCCAGTAAATACTTCCATAAGGTTTACTGGGGTGAGAGAATGAGGGACTCTTTTCCATTCCAACGACCATATTTCAAACGGAATTCTCACACATAGCTCTGCAGCTGTAAAATATCCTTCAGAAAACAAAAACGTTCTCCAGATAAAAAATCTCTGAAATGATTGGCCTCTCCAGCCACACTTATAATAAGTGGCAAGGTTTCATTATTTGTTTTGCATGGGTTTTTTAAATATACAACCTTGAACCTCTGTTGTTTTTACCCTCAGGATACACCAGAAAACAAAAGAAATCTCACTGTATTCTTCCTGGTTAAACTCCTAAATAAATATACCGCGCCATTTCCTTAACAGCTAGGAGAGAATCATATTAGATGGATCAGATTTTATTTCAACGAAGGACGGTGTTTTGTTGAGTTTCTGAAGGCCAAACCTAATTTCCTAAGAGCCACCATGTCATCTTGCAGCAGTTATATTTTATCAGCCTCACACAGCTTCCAGAATGCTGGTAAAGCATCGCCCATGAGTAGAGGGGCTCATTCTTTTCGTTTACTGGTAAGTGTTTGTATCTCTAATTCACATTGTTCTCCAAGACATCATAACAGCGGTGATTTACATGATAGTAACTGTGCAGTGATTTAATTCTCTAGCTTCTGCAATATCCTATATTTCATTGTTTATGCACTAAACACAGATTTGTAATGAATGGAAAACCAAATTGCAAAATTCAGACTATAATAGCCAAGTGGTGACTATAACAAATTCTGGGAAATCCGCTAATGTTGCCTAGATTTTCCAATTGGGTTTTAAAGCTACTACAATTAAGTGTTTAGTTAAGCTCCTTTAATTATATGAGCGTTAACAAACTCACTTTTTGTCTCCTTTCGTCAATACGTTGTTTAAAGAACACGGATTTGTTCATGTGCCTAGGTGGTAAAACAGTGGTTTTAATTATAATTTTTTTCATTTTTAGCTCTGTTGCATTTTGCATATTGCTTTCAGTGTGGAAATCAGAATACATATTGGGTGTTTATTAAAACTGCCTTTTTATAATTCAATTGGCTACTTGGCTATGGGCAATAACACAACCAATGCAGAACACACAGGATGTTGGGAATATTTATAACAGTGTTGGTAACAAGAAATTGGACCAAGTTTTAATGTGCATCAATCGCCATGGCAGCCAACTCAGTGCTTGTGCTGCTAATTCCATAGTGAGATTCTAATCAATGACTCCTGCAGATTTATAAAAGCAGGCTTTTACATTAGCAACACTTTTTCAAATCTCCAGAAGTCACTGACTGCAGATTCTTGCTGAGCATGCCTGCACTATGGCAGGGGCCAACATACTGACATTTTTATTTGTTGTTTGATAAATTGAGAAACATGATTTTTAATTTTAACAGGTTTTTTTTGCTAAGTGAGTGTATGTTCAGGTGGATGAATAAATCTTTTCTCATGGGAGAATTCAAGTACTGCTGAATTTGAGATTTTCATTTAAAGTTGATCGGTAACCAGAACCAAATTTTAGAACCTGTAAGGCTGCTTCTGCTTAGCTCAAATTTTCCTTATAACCAAAATCACACCGCAACCCATTTCTATTAGCATTTTATATAAATGATTTTAAAAAAATGCATCACATACTCATCACTGTACTGGATGTCATTTAGTGGGTCAGATTCCCCAGCAGTTTTAGATCAATTATAAAAAATTACAAAATAACAATCGTACATGTTACACGTGGTTATATATGGAATTTTCATGTCATTGTCTTTGTTATATGTTTGACATACGGTTGATTTCAGTCTTTCTCATCGAGTAAAAATGGTGAGTCAATGTCTACACCAGGGGTACCCATAAGGTAGATCCCAGATGTTTTAAAACTACATGTTCCATTGTCATTCTAAAGACATGCAAAGCATCATGGGAGTTGTAGTTCTACAACATCTGGGAATCTACCTTTTGGGTCCCCTGATTTACACCTTTTTTTTGGCTGGCTAGAAGGCCTCTGTTAGAACAAATTTGTTGCAAATGAAGTTGTATCTCAACACCGTAGATAGTTTTGAAGCGGCTACAGGGGTAAGGTGTACAGTGGACAGAACAATACAAACATCTACCTCTGTTGCACTACTGGATGGTAGACACTGCCATTTTCCCATGATGCTTTGTGCACACATTCAAGAAATCATGAAACTTATTATTTGCCTAAAATGGCAGAACAACAAAGCATTTGAATGAGAAAAAAAACAAAAACCTCGCCAAATAGTTGACACTAATTTAGCTGTTACAATCCACAATTAACTTTTAAAACTTAAAGGCATGTAAAATGTTTAAGCTAAAAAAATAAAATAAAAATAATAATTGGAGATTACAAGAGTCAGCGCAGCAACGGGGGAGACCGGAGGTGAATTTCCCAGTCTCGTGTATACTCAATAGACAGGAGGTCAGAGAGAATGACTGATCTATACGTAGTAATGTAAGGAAAGATCTGCAGCTATAGGAGTCACATTGATACAATATCAGTGCAAGTATCAAGGATCTCTTCAAATGGAGATCAAGCCAACCTGTGCCAATAACGCAGCTATCTGCACTCAATAGTAAATATCAAACATCTGATCTGCTGGGATGAACTATGGGAATGTATGTATCAGATGAGTGTGGCCAACCTGAGCTACCCAGGTTGCTGCTGGGCTATAGTCTTCAGTATTCTCTATCATAAACGGGAGATAATTCTAGGAAATGTAATTAAACATAGCCAGCTTTTGCTCCCCAACATAAAAGGAGGGAAAAGGTTGGCTTCCCCTGTTCCACATTGTCTAAATTGTGGGCAGCAGAAGGGCTGTGTACACCAGGTTTGCGCCATTACACAACAAGCAGAGGAGATTGCAGAGCGAAGATATTCCATGATAGCGCAGAAAGCTTTTCCGCAAAGCTTGGTATTTGGGATCCTTTTCCCGGAGCAGCTTATAACCTTCGATGTTGGCAGACAGACCCACACCCCCTCCTAATCCATGCTCTTTCTCAATAGCCTGCATCTTAAACATGGTCTTCGTGGTGGATGGGGAGAACCAACGTGCGTTCAGTGCAGACAAAATGAGCGAGGTGAATAATAGAGATATCTGTGAGATAAACAAGAGGCAAAAAGGGACATTTAGAAAAAGTAATAAATTGTGTGAACTGGAGAGTGTGAAAAGCTTGGAAACTGACTGAAAGGTTGGACTGGGAATAGTGAAAGTGGATATAGAAAGGGACAAAATAAATGAGAACGTTAGAACCAGAAAAGCAGCTATATAGAATAAAACAACGAATGTTTAGAAAAAAACAAAACAAATGAAAGTGCAGGAAATGGGAGGAATTTTTAAGGACTGAGAGAGTGATGACAGGCTGGAAAGGTGTCCAGGTAAGTGTCCCCTCACCTGTACAGTCTCGCCAGGTGAAAGCAGGTCTCGGGGGTGGTATGTGGCGTACACGGCCAGGCTGAGAAATGAGAATACTAAAACGATGTGGTTGTAAAAAGGGAACAGTTTACTTTGTACTAAGCCGAAAGTATGCCTGGGAACACCTCTTATCAGAACAAACCCTGCAAGGAGAAAGAGACAAAATATATACTTTATACAACATTCAAAAAAAAAATTTAAAAAAAATTATATATATTACTTATAAATAAAAAAACCTTTGATGGGATTTAATTGTGGAATCTAAAATATACTGAAGGTAAAAAATAGTGTATAGGGGACAAGCACTATACAAATAGATGTATAACTATTCTGCAGAGCTTGCACTCTAATACACAGATCAAGGTACAATATACAAGGAGAGGTGGGGAATGCATGCTTATATACAGAGAGGGCTATTCAGCAAAGTCAGTAACTCAAAGCTAATTTCACATTTTAGGAAACAAAAGCTGAAATGGAAAAATTCTCCAAGTTACATTTATAGCATTTATATTTGATATTGATACTTTAGAGAGAGTTCAGAGAAGGTCTTGTAAACCGGTTCATGGATTGCAGGATAAAACTTACCAGGAAAGGTTAAAGGACCACTATAGTGGCAGGAAAACATACTCGTTTTCCTGGCACTATAGTGCCCTGAGGGTGCCCCCACCCTCAGGGTCCCCCTCCCGCCCGGCTCTGTGGAGAGGAAAGGGGTAAAAACTTACCTTTTTCCAGCGCTGGGCGCGGGGTTCTCCTCCTCCGATCCTCCTCTGTTCCTCCCATTCGGCTGAATGCGCGCGCATTCAGCCGGTCGCATAGGAAAGCATTTACGATGCTTTCCTATGGATGCTCGCGTGCTCTCACTGTGATTTTCAATGAGACAGCCACTAGAGGAATTGGAGGAAGGATTAACCCATTTGTAAACATAGCAGTTTCTCTGAAACTGCTATGTTTATAAAAGAATGGGTTAATCCTAGCTGGACCTGGCACCCAGACCACTTCATTAAGCTGAAGTGGTCTGGGTGCCTAGAGTGGTCCTTTAAAGGATCTTAACATCTATAGCTTGGAGGAAAGACAAGACAGGGGGATATGATAGAAACATTTAAATATATAAAGGGAATCAACACAGTAAAGGAGGAGACTATATTTAAAAGAAGAAAAACTACCACAACAAGAGGACATAGTCTTAAATTAGAGGGGCAAAGGTTTAAAAATAATATCAGGAAGTATTACTTTATTGAGAGGGTAGTGGATGCATGGAATAGCCTTCCAGCTGAAGTGGTACAGGTTAACACAGTAAAGGAGTGTAAGCATGCGTGGGATACGCATAAGGCTATCCTAACTATAGGATAAGGCCAGTGACTAATGAAAGTATTTAGAAAATTGGGCAGACTAGATGGGTGTAAAGGGATAGTGTGATGGAATTTCGTTGAAATGTAAATTTAGTAGGCCGAGATTTCCATGTGGCATATGTGTATGTTGTATCAGTTAGTTAGTTACACGTAGCTAAGATACTGTCATCAATGTACTGAGGATGTGCAGGAATGCAGGAACTTAAATTACACTCCTTTCTCCTTTGTTTCGGATGAGCCATGTGGTCTGCCCATATGAGAAAATCCAAATCCTGTCCACTGATTGGTTAAGGGTATGTGCGGGTGGAGCTATTAATAGGAGGAGTTATAGTTCTATAAAAAGCATTTACTCCATGTGTTTGTCCCTCAAACCTGTTTTGGAACGTTAGTTTATCTGAGGCCCGATCGGTATGTTAATAAAGACCTCTTACTTCCTGAAAACCTGCATCCATCTCTCTGTGTCTGGCTTCTGCAAGTTTACTCGGTTACAATAGAGGTGTTGCGCTGGCATTACCAGACAGCAAGTAAATAGTGAGCACTATTTTAAGGATACCACATCTACAGAGATCCTACAGTGGGGATTATATTAGTGATTACCTCATAATAGGAGCCAGTGCAGGCTCTAAGGCATGTGAGTGGAAAAGTTACTCTTCTTCTCCTTCCCTCTGTAAAGAAAATACTACACGATATTTCTCAATTTCGTCCTGTTTTACATACCCTACACTATATAGAATGCCTATAAAGAAGATATCCCTCTTCTGATATCCCAAAGCAGGGATTATCCTGCTCAGACCTTTTAATCAGAGCTAGATTTAGAACACCTGCTAGATATACTACACTGCTCCCATACACTTTAATAGTGACTTCTGTAGATAAAACATTTAAAATATTTTTTTCTAACAGATTGTGATAATATGAAAAGCTTACGCAAAACAATTAAATTGAGGCTAAACTGCATCAGTCCCTGACACTAAACTGCGTCAGTCCCACACGGTGTTAACCATTCGCTTTTCACACTTATCATGCCACATAGACGTTAATCCTTAAAGACCAGTTGGTGGTTTTTTTACTGTGCCCTCTGTGATTAAACGGTTATATAGACATGTTTGTACTGAGAACCTCTGAACTATTAAATCTTTTCACGGCTGAAGGAGGACTTCCCTCACAAGGGATCCATAGTCTCTGGGAAAGAAGCTAGCCTTCATGCACGGTTCTGTTACAGTTATGTTTACAGTTTTAAAATCGTGGCCTTAAATTTTAAATTCAGTTTGATTTCAGTGTAAGAGACAGATATTCCTTAGAGACAGTAGTGACTATATAAAAAGGGAATCCTGGGCTTGCATTTTACAATATACGTAGGGATAGATATAGCATAGAGAGTCCCGTAATTGTTTGGATAAATGAATCCTATACTGACGTTCTTACAATTAATGTGATAAATGCACTGACTAAGACCATCTATTGTCACCTGCTACAAATGTCACCCAGCACTGCATTCCCCAGGACGCAGATAGTATGAGAAGGTAGAACACCTTCACCAGGCTGCCCGGATCTCCCTCTGACACCATCCTAAAAGGGGGAAAAAAAACTAATTAATATCCATGTGTAATAAAATATAAACAGCCATCAAACAACACGTCTAACATTTGCATTTACAATAACATTAGTAGTAATGTTATTTAGGGAAATTATCTGCTTTTAAAAATAAATATAGGGTATTCTCAGTATGTAAAAGGTATTTCATACAAAACACAGACTTCCAAAGTTAAAAAAAAAACGATATCTCTATTGTTTGGATAAAAAATACACGATATATATAGATGATATATCTCGATCAATCTATAACTAACAGCAAAGCTTATTGTAGTGGTTCTGGAGTATACGGTCTGTCCCTGCAGGCTGAGCACTGTAACACCATCTCTAGTGATTGTCACACTGAAAGCCACTAAAGGGACTTCCTGGGTTTGGTCTTGCAAAGATTGCAGGACCGACATTCAGATTCTCCACAATTTGTATGGAAACACTGAATGCTTCCCATATAGATTCACTTAGTAACTGCATTCTATTACGAGATACTGATTGGCGCACTTGCCTCACAATACTTACTTATGGTGAAGCACTGGATTGGCTAAGATCATCAGGATTGTAACCAGAGCCGGCACCACCATTAGGCGAACTAAACATTCTGAGTGCCTTCTTACCCTGTAACATCTTATTACAGTAACCCGGCTCCTGAGCACTTTATTACCCTAATATTGACTGAAGAAGCTCTATTTGAGAGTGAAACGCGTATTGGCCATTTTTAAAGGACTTTTATTTGAGGACTTTTATCATCTTTGTTTTTATGTTTATTTTAAACTAATAAATTCACCATTTTTATTCAATACCTCATCCAAGTTCCTTTTGGAGCCTCCAAGGAATCCTCACAGGGGTAGTGCCATCCCCATTCAAACTGGCACAAAATCCACATACCTAGAGCCGGGATTCGTAGGCTCAGGACCAGGTGAGCACCCCATTTATTGAACACATATCTGTGCCATCTATCACCATAAGTCTACACATTGGTTTGCTTTCTTCTCTTTTTTTCGTGTTCCTGAGAAATTCTTCAAGCCGAAGTAGGAGGGTGGTGCTACCATAACAGCACACAAGCCTTTATACGGAGCCAGTGTTTTCTATATACAGGCTCCTTGAAATGTGAGTGTAATATTCAACACAATATTATTATAATCACTGTGAAGCCATTTTTTAGTACCATCTACACTATATTGTATTTTCTGTATTTTATGTTGACATGTACCCCATATTTTACCATTGAATGAGACTACGTTTTGGTAAGATTTATCTGTGTTTGAGCGCTCCACTTATAGGTGTAGGTCCTTGTCACTTACACCGCACCAATATCTACTAAATTTATTCAGTGGAATAGAGGATATTTCCACACTAGTGTATTGAGCTGCCTGTAAATCACTTTTTGACTCTTTTGAGCACTTTTGTTATACACACTCCTCTGTAAAAAGAGGCAACCTTTGATTGGTATTCATATTATGACAATAATTTGTCTCCTGTACTGTTAAAGAATCACTATAGGGTCAGGAACACAAACATGTATTCCTGACCCTATAGTGTTAACACCACCATCTAGCCCCCCTGGGCCCCTCATGCCTCCATAAATATAGTAAAAATCTTACTGTATTCAAGCCAGAAGCTGTAGATCTGCATGCTGTTAGACTCAGAAAAACAAACAGTCTGCTGACATCATCAGAAGTGGTGGCCTGATCCAATCACAATGCTTCCCCATAGGATTGGCTGAGACTGACAAAGAGGCAGATCATGGGCAGAGCCAGCATGATTCAAACACAGCCCTGGCCAATCAGCATCTCCTCATAGATGAATTGAAATCAATGAATCTCTATGAGGAAAGTTCAGTGTCTGCATGCAATCTTACTGTATTCAAGCCAGAAGCTGTAGATCTGCATGCTGTTAGACTCAGAAAAACAAACAGTCTGCTGACATCATCAGAAGTGGTGGCCTGATCCAATCACAATGCTTCCCCATAGGATTGGCTGAGACTGACAAAGAGGCAGATCATGGGCAGAGCCAGCATGATTCAAACACAGCCCTGGCCAATCAGCATCTCCTCAGAGATGAATTGAAATCAATGAATCTCTATGAGGAAAATTCAGTGTCTGCATGCAGAGGAAGGAGACACTGAATGTTTGGATGCATGTTAGGCAGCCATGACCCAGGAAGGATCTCTAACAGCCATCTGAGGAGTGGCCAGTGAAGTTATCACTAGGCTGTAATGTAAACACTGCATTTTATCTGAAAAGACTGTGTTTACAGCAAAAAGCTTGAAGGTAATGATTCTACTCACCAGAACAAATTTAATAAGCTGTAGTTGCTCTGGTGACTATAGTGTCCCTTTAATATTCTTGCTATCTCAAGCTGTGCTGAGTCACCCTCCTATTTTGAAACCCAACCAGTAGATAAGAGGTAAACAATATCCTCCCAGATTTAGAAAGCAGTCTGATGTGTGTGCAGGAAGGCTGTGAGAGCTGCTCTGTATGATAACACACGGAAACTATGAATAAGCTCTCAAAGAATTGTTGAGGTGGCCAGATGTGATACACTGCTCCTCCAAATAAAACTATAATAAACCCCCATCCCAGTAAAAACTACAACACAGGGTGTATGAAGAAATGCAATGCTTCTCCTGCACACGTGTCATGGCCAGGTTAACCATTTAAATCACTATATAGTTTGAACAATCCTTTGTTTGCAATTTGTTCACAATACTGCAGCATAATTACAGAGTCATTTTAAAAGTCACCACTAAGGTTAGGGGATACTTGAAGTTAAAGGGACATTATAGTCAGCAAAATAACTTTTGCTTAATGAAGCAGTTTTGGCATATAGAACATGCCTCTGCAGTCTCACTGCTCAATCCTCTGCCATTTAAGAGATAAATCACTTTGTTTATATAGTCTCACCTCCTCTGGCTGTGACTCACACAAACATTATGGAAGAAAAAAAGGTTTTTGTTTTTTTTTTACATCTCAATGTGTTTACTTTAGAAGTTTTTTTTATCTCCTGTTAATTTAATTTTAAACACTCACATGAGGTAGTTGCAAGCATTAAAGGTCTTCTATAGTGTTAGCAAAATAACACTATAGTGCCCTCTTTTGTCCCCTCCCTGCTGTCCCTCTGCACTGGGTCTATTCTGCCAGGGGGAACCTAATGTGTGTGCTCAGCATTTAGCCTTAACTGACACTGATGCAGAGTGTAAGGACATCCTGCGTCATATTTCCATATTGGACAAAATCAATGGATATATCTTTTTTTTTTTTTTTAACAGGGAAATACTACAAAGCGCTTGCATTTCTAATCTTGGAATTATTAAAAAAAAAATAAAACACCCTGATGTTTGCTCAGCCCTACATCATACCTTGGAAGCCAAAGTATTTCTTATAAACTCCTGGTTTCTGGATTGGAAAGGCTGTTATGTACCAATCACATTATAACCTAAACCAGCCCCGATCTCAACATCTCACGAAAATTTAAAGACACCATCTTTCCATATTCCAGATTTGGTAAAAACGAAATTTTTCCGCACAAACCACCCTTACTATAATGGTCGATTGACTGTTTTGAAGTCACAGGTGCAAATGATGCTATCATGAACTGTGTGAATCTGTCTTAAGCATGAGTTACAGCATATATATTAACGTTTGGTATATAACAGTATATAAGACATGAGGTATGTCAATGAGCATACTTCGTACAAAAAACCCCCCCAAAAAGCAGGATTCTGCCGATTGCAACATTGTTTAACATTATTATATCAATTCATAGGGAATAATTGTGTATAATCAGAAGCTGATTAATGGAGCCAAGCCATAAAAGGAGGGTGAATGATCAATGTTGCATATACTCATGATTACAAATTGGCTCCTACTGTGAATGTAGAATTGATTCTTAACACGTTTCAGTTTTCAGGATTGCAGTATGGAGGGTTCCATTTTGTCATCTCCTTTCTCACACTGGAAAAGTAATATCTAAAAGCCGACTTATCAGAGCATTGTTTTCAAGAGCAGCATTGTAGGCTGGCAGGGGAAGATAAGAATTGTAAAAGCTCTTACAAAGCAAATTTCTTTCAAAGAAAAAAACAACAAAGAAACTGCCATTTGCATGAAACAGCAACAGTGCAAATATAGGCTTTAACCCCTTAAGGACCAAACTTCTGGAATAAAAGGGAATTATGACATGTGTCCTTAAGGGGTTAAAGGGACATTATAGAACATGCCCCTGCAGTCTCACTGCTCAATCCTCTGCCATTTAGGAGTTAAATCCCTTTGTTTATGAACCCTAGTCACACCTCCCTGCATGTGACTTACACAGCCTTCCATAAACACTTCCTGTAAAGAGAGCCCTATTTAGGCTTTCTTTATTGCAAGTTCTGTTTAATTAAGATGTTCTTATCCCCTGCTATGTTAATAGCTTGCTAGACCCTGCAAGAGCCTCCTGTATGTGATTAAAGTTCAATTTAGAGATTGAGATACAATTATTTAAGGTAAATTACATCTGTTTGAAAGTGAAACCAGTTTTTTTTTTCATGCAGGCTCTGTCAATCATAGCCAGGGGAGGTGTGGCTAAGGCTGCATAAACAGAAACAAAGTGATTTAACTCCTAAATGACAGTGAATTGAGCAGTGAAATTGCAGGGGAATGATCTATACACTAAAACTGCTTTATTTAGCTAAAGTAATTTAGGTGACTATAGTGTTCCTTTAAGGGATGAAATTCATTTTAAAGATTTTCTATAAAATATAATTATAAAAAATGGTATGTACTCTTACTTCAAGCACCATCACCACTTCAGTGGTTTCACGTGGTCATGGTGCTTGGGGTCTGTATTTGCAGCATTTTTCTATGAAAATGCTGCACATTCAGAGAGTAACCCCTTGGCTGCTGGCAGCAAGACTGACTTCTGACGCCAGTACACTAAGCATGCTGGCACCAGACAGCCAATGGCTGCATGCTCCGTTCCCCTCCATGCTGCCCATGTCCTTCTCTCAGTCTGCCACCCGACTATCTGGCGAGGGATGAATAACGTCAGCTAGAGTAACATTAGGCGGCAGGGCCTTGGCCTTGGTGCTGGGATGGAGGTAAGTTTTGAGCTATTTTTTTTCCCAAGTTTTTTTTTTGTGGGAAGGAGTCCATATAGGAAGAATTACTCTGACCAATACCACTACTTTTTGATTAGAGTAACCCTTTAAGTGAAAAAAATTCTGGGATACAAACACTTGCAGGGTTAATCACTAAAGTGAAAAGTGTTAGAAATTCAAAGCGAATTTCAGATTTAAGGCCAAAATAGCTGAATTTAAGTCAGTTATGCTTCCAGCTTGGCTACTCTGGCCTTAAATTTGAAATGTTCCTTGAATCTAAATAAGCTATGCTGGACTGTGTGTCCACCAGGGGGCCCTGTTTCACCACAAATCTAATAAACCCATACCTAATAAAGAGATTATAAAATGAAAATTACAAAAATATTTGGCCAATTGGCAAAGTAGATACCTGTCTATAAGTACTTTGGTTAAGCAGTGGCTGTCCTGATTATACCAAGTAACATATATTTCCTTTTCCTTATTGATGCAGATGGTCACTGCTGCCTGGAGCAAAAATACTAAGGACCCCTAAAAGGATAACTTTTTCTCCAGTGGTCATTATACCTAACACACCTAAACAGTATCGGAGCCCCCGAAGTAGTGTTCAGTCACCCTCCATGATGTTTCCAGGAGAGTGGGGTCAAGGAGATTCACGTTTTCAGTGGTTTTACGCTGATGGAGAGGAGAGGAAAGCGGAGACCTCATAATACAAAAGGAGATCTCATAATGTTGAATAAATGTAAGAAAGAGCAGGAGGGACTGATGAAATCATTGGGAGAGTGAGTTGTTAAATTGGGTATGAGCAATTTAAAGGGACACTCCAGACCCCTAAAGCACTTCCGATTCCTGAAGTGCTTTATGTGTGGAAAGTGTGTCCTATTGTTTTCATTTTACAAAAAGTGCGGACTTCTGCTGCATAAACCTAAACAGTGATTTATCTCCTAAATGGCGGAAAATTGAGCAGTGAGACAGCAGGGACAACTATACACCAAAACCGCTTCATTAAGCTAAAGTTGTTTTGGTGACTATAGTGTCCCTTTAAAGCAGGGGTGGGGAACCTTCGGCTCTCCAGATGTTTTGGACTACATCTCCCTTGATGCTTTGCCAGCATTATGCTTTAAAGAGTAAACAGACGTTTAGTTAAACATACACACAAAGCTGTTCAGTAGACTAAATGTCACGAATGAGAAAATGAAATAGTAGTATATCACAATAGAGGAATTCACAGCTATTTACATCCCCATTGGCAGAAACAAGACAATTTCTAGTTTAGTAAATAACTGACAGACTACTAGATCGTTTATATGCTATCGTATACATTAGCATTGAAATGGAGAGTCAGGGTTACTCACTAAACTTTGAGATTGATTTATTTTGTAGTGTAAGTATTTTGGTCTCAGAGTGCCTATGGCAAACAGTAAGTAAGTATTAATTGGTTATACATGTATGTAGTCTGCTGTATCCTGCAAGATGAGAGAAACCCCAACATTTACACATGCTTAGTGTCCATTTTGACATTCAGGTTCTGTTTTCGGTGCTCTACTAAAAAGGGCAACAATTTAAAGGGACACTATATCATTAGGAACACAAATCTGAATTCCCATTGCTATAATATCCCTGGACATAACTAGCTGCAGATCCCCCCCATGTGCACTGGGATATAAAACTAACAGAATTTACTCACATTTTCTCCAGCACAGAGTCTCTCAGGGTGCTGCCACCTGTGCCTCCAGGATGGCGGTCTAACCCAATGCTCCTCATAGATCATGCTGCCAATGATACTCTTATCATAGAGAACCATTGAGTGTAATAATTCTCTATGAAAAACCGTGACTTCCCTGTGCATGCCTGGTATGAAAGCAGGAAAGTCTTGGCTCTCCTATCCAAAAGGCTTAGAGGCATGGCTTGAAGCTAAGACAGCGTGGGATCTATTGTAAGCACTATAATAACTTCAATTAGATGAAGTTGTTATGGTGAACAGTGTTTAATTACTATTATTATCATCATCATCATCATCGTAATTTATTTATCGCTAGCCTGTTCCACAGAGCTTTACAATATTATAAAGGGGAACATTTTTATCATTTTACAATAGGTTACAGGAACAATGGGTTGATGATGATTCTGCTCAAAAGAGCTTACAATCTAGAGGAGGTGGGGTATAAAAACACAACAAGAAGAGCATTGAATGGGATGGCAGTTAGGCAACAAGGTGGTAAAGTAGCAGAACTGGAAAGTAGTCGCCCACAAGAATTCTTGCAAGCCCGAGTTAGCAATAAGTGTTCTGGAGAAAGTCACCTGCAGAGCAGAGAGACTGAAAAGGGGTGTACTTACAAATTAGGGAAGAAATTTAACAGAGGCTAGAGTTGTTTATAGCATTATAGGTAAGGGTTAGTATTCTGAATTGCTGCTAAAACTCCACTCAAATTCTTGAACATTCTCTTGCCATCAACACTGTCGATCATGCTGGCAGACAAAGTCTGTCTAAATTATATATATATATTTGCTGATTTGATGAAATAAAGAGTTTTTTTGTATTGGAAGACTGAGTGCAGTCCAAGCTTTATTCATGTGTGTGTGTTATATATATATATATATATTTTGGGACAAACTTACTTTCCTGTGTGTGTTTGTCCAGGATCTTTTGGCAACCGCACAGCCCTCTAGGGTAAGAAAACCAGGTCAAGACAAAGTCCAGTTTCAAAAAAAGGCCTCTGGCCTGTTTATTTTCTGTTGTTGTGAAGTAACAGGATACAATGAATCAGCAAATCTTCTTTCTCCACAAAACACCTTCTTTCTCCTCCAAAACACTTCCCTCACTTCACCCTGCTTTAACTGCAGTTATATAGCTGCTCATAGCCCCTACAGGTGAGGCTAATCACCTCGTTAGGCAGTGAGCCAGAACTCTATGGGAAACCTGGGCTGGACTCATGCACAACCACTCTGACAGTGGGTGGAGAATCGGCCCACTCTGCTCTTCCGAATACTCCACCCCAGGGACCCAAATAACAAGAGGAAAAAAAAACTAAATTTAAACTTAACTTTCCCTGGGGCTGCATGTGCTTAGCCACATGTCAGGATAGTGGCTGTGCAAAAGTCTGGGTGCCAGATATACACCGCTGACCACCATCCCCAACACTCTGTTACAATATATATATATATATATATTAGTATTTTTTAAACATGGAAGGGAAATGTCCAATTTAGCTATATCTATCAGGACACATGTAAGAGTGAAATGTTTGCAAATTGACTCTGAACAATGTCACAGCACCAGAGAAGCTGCACCATGATTATTACACAAGGATGTAGTGGTTATGGTACTTGAAATGCCCCTTTAATTTACATTTTTTGCAGAATTAACAAGAAAAAGTGACATGGAGTTTTGTGTAATGGATAATTTATGGGTTTATCCACCAAAGCCCATATGATGCACCCTTCCACACACAATACAGAGCCTGTTCACAGCTCTTAAAAACCTTTTTGAGCTACAGTTTTTTTATGTTACTGTGTATAGTGAACACTATACATATATATGTATAAATAATACACAAGATCCAGCGCACTCACCTATCCACTAAACAGCAACTTTAATGTTGAAAGATTTTATTTGTTTGTTTTTTTAAAAACACCTAATCTAGGCAAAAACAATGGGGGTTTAGTTACATTATATGATCATACATTGCATAAGCCTGCCACAACGTCAATGTACCCCATCTTTGGCAGGTCCTACACTAACAGCCTAATGTCTGCTCTTATGAGATTAACCTACTTGGGGAAAAAAATTCCATCTGGGGCTCTCTGCAGTACAAGGATAGATAGGGCCCTGGGATGAGGCACCTGTGACAGGAAGGGGTGCAAAATCAAGGAGTTGGCTAGACTCCCAAATAGGGGTGCAAAATCAAGGAGTTGGCTAGACTTTAGATTTTATTTGTTTTTTGTAGTGTAGTGTAGGACCTGCCAAAGATGGGGTACATTGACGTTGTGGCAGGCTTATGCAATGTATGATCATATAATGTAACTAAACCCCCATTGTTTTTGCCTAGATTAGGTGTTTTTTAAAAAAACAAATAAAATCTTTCAACATTAAAGTTGCTGTTTAGTGGATAGGTGATTGCGCTGGATCTTGTGTATTGTATTATTTGGCCCCCAGCAGCACCCCCATTTATGCATGTTAAAGGACCACTATAGTGCCAGGAAAACATACTCGTTTTCCTGGCACTATAGTGCCCTGAGGGTGCCCCCACCCTCAGGGTCCCCCTCCCGCCCGGCTCTGGAAGGGGGAAAGGGGTAAAAACTTACCTTTTCCAGCGCTTCGGGCTGAGAGCTCTCGCCTCCTCCTCCTCCGACCCGCTTCATCAGCTGAATGCGCGACGCCAAGATTCAGCCAGTCGCATAGGAAAGCATTTACAATGCTTTCCTATCGACGCTGGCGTGCTCTCACTGTGAAAATCACAGTGAGAAGCATCAAGTTCTAGTGGCTGTCAATGAGACAGCCACTAGAGGAATGGGGGAAGGCTTAACCCATTAATAAACATAGCAGTTTCTCTGAAACTGCTATGTTTATTAAAAATGGGTTAACCCTAGCTGGACCAGGCACCCAGACCACTTCATTAAGGTGAGTGCAGCCAACCCCTCTTGTTATATATATATATATATATATATATGTATATATATATATATATATATATATATGTGTGTGTGTGTGTTAATAGAGCCACGTCACTATTTATTGTGTCTTGCTCTGCATATAAATGGTTAAAAGTGCATTTGTCAATGGCTCCTGATTTGTGCCAAAGGTTGAAAAGAGAAAAACATGGAATGAGGTGAGTTTGCACGCACAAGGCTAGCATAAATAACTGCAATATTTTAATAAGGACACACAAAAGGTTATGTAATAATTTACAAAAAAAATTATACATAAATATTCAGCAAATATAGGTGTGTACTAATAAATACATTAATAATAATAATAATAATATCACAACAAAGCCAATAGTCAATCTATCTACAACTATATAATCTATAAAATATAATATTAGATTTACAGACTCCAATGTGTCTGTTACTAAATATTTTAAATGAAATTAAGAAGAATAAAATAGCACAGGATATAGAGGGTTTTGCCATGTAAAGTACATTGTCCCCAGACTTATTTGTTCCCCTCTCCACAAATTTAGTGCTTCTTGGACAGACTTTTTGTACTTTTATACCAGCTGGGTGACTTAATAACACATCCCCCCTGTACCTGACTCCTCTGAGCTTCCAGGCTGAGAGCAGAGCAGCAACTGTCAGCTACTTCCGGGTTCCAGCACAAGCCATTCCTCAGCCATGACGTAATCCGTCCAATCAGCGTCCAGCTTCTCACTTATCAAAAGAGCAAAGAACTTGATAGTTCCGTAGCAACCGTTGCCATGGTTTCTGAGCTGCACCCCTTTTACAGCTGATCGTTGAGGCCAAAAATCTATGGAATGCAATTACAAATGTTTGGTAAATAGGTTTATTCTGTAATAAAATTACTTTTTAATCCAGAATGAAAAGTGCATTCCATTCTATTTATTTTACTCACTTCACATGCATTTGCAAATAGTACATACAACCTATCCTGTGTTTATTTAACCAGTCCCTCTACCTCCCAACATTTCATATTGATAAACAGGGACACTTTCATTTTAGGGGTGGGAGGGGGCTTACTTTTCTGAAAACCTTTAGCTGATATATTAAAATAACAATGTATGAAAATAAAATGTAATTTAGAACAAGAACAATGTATCTTATTTACACAGACTGATTTCTAAATACATTTATTGTGGTTTAAAGACACATTACTGGGGGTATTATTGCTGGGGAGCTCTGTTATACACTCAGACACATCACTGGGAGTATTATTGCTGGGGAGCTCTGTTATACACTCAGACACATTACTGGGAGTATTATTGCTGTGGAGCTCTGTTATTCACTCAGACACATTACTGGGAGTATTATTGCTGTGGAGCTCTGTTATTCACTCAGACACATTACTGGGAGTATTATTGCTGTGGAGCTCTGTTATACACTCAGACACATTACTGGAGTATTATTGCTGTGGAGCTCTGTTATACACGCAGACACATTACTGGGAGTATTATTGCCGTGGAGCTCTGTTATACACTCAGACACATTACTGGGAGTATTATTGCTGTGGAGCTCTGTTATACACTCAGACACATTACTGGGAGTATTATCGCTGTGGAGCTCTGTTATACACTCAGACACATTACTGGGAGTATTATCGCTGTGGAGCTCTGTTATACACTCAGATGCATTACTGGGAGTATTATCGCTGTGGAGCTCTGTTATACACACAGACGCATTACTGGGAGTATTATTGCTGTGGAGCTCTGTTATACACTAAGACGCATTACTGGGAGTATTATTGCTGTGGAGCTCTGTTATACACTCAGACACATTACTGGGAGTATTATTGCTGTGGAGCTGTGTTATACACTCAGACACATTACTGGGAGTATTATTGCTGTGGAGCTCTGTTATACACTCAGACACATTACTGGGAGTATGATTGCTGTGGAGCTCTGTTATACACTCAGACACATTACTGGGAGTATGATTGCTGTGGAGCTCTGTGATACACTCAGACACATTACTGGGAGTATGATTGCTGTGGAGCTCTGTTATACACTCAGACACATTACTGGGAGTATTATTGCTGTGGAGCTCTGTTATACACTCAGACACATTACTGGGAGTATTATTGCTGTGGAGCTCTGTCATACACTCAGACACATTACTGGGAGTATTATTGCTGTGGAGCTCTGTTATACACTCAGACACATTACTGGGAGTATTATTGCCGTGGAGCTCTGTTATACACGCAGACACATTACTGGGAGTATTATTGCCGTGGAGCTCTGTTATACACGCAGACACATTACTGGGAGTATTATTGCTGTGGAGCTCTGTTTTTACACTCAGACACATTACTGGGAGTATTATTACTGTGGAGCTCTGTTATACACTCAGACACGTTACTGGGAGTATTATTGCTGTGGAGCTCTGTTATACACTCAGACACATTACCGGGAGTATTATTACTGTGGAGCTCTGTTATACACTCAAGCACACTAACAATATGGAGCTCCTAGAAAAGAGGGACTTTAGGATAGAAAAGAGGGACAGGGGAATTTGGTAGAAACATCTCTCGAACCACAGATACTCTGGGAACATATTCACTAACTGTTATTTGTATATAAAAACTGTGTTTTTAATATTCCCGAAAGAGACCGACCATGCAACCTGAGTTCATGGAACTATTTTGGGCAGGCGCCTCGTGTGCGATCGGTCTAAACTATACCCCGGTGACGTTTCGGCTGCGTTTGTGGGATCTGAGTGATTTCGACACATGTTGGGCGCTCAGACCCAGGCTATCCGGGGACATAATATTTGTAGGGATATCTTATGGTTAACACTGTATTTTGATGTATTTTAATTATGCTTCTCCTGGACCTGAGAGGTAATGTAATTATGTGTGTGCTTATGATGCTGTCCCCTCTCAAGTCCAGTGGGGAATGCCCCTGAAATGTGTCTCCATAAACCCCTTGCATGGGGACTTGCATAAAAGGCCAGCTGTGGCTCCCATTAAAGCAGTTCCAGTTTTACCCTCAACACAGAGCCTCGTCTCGTGTCTGTAGGGAACAGCAATAACAGCTATTTCACATTGTTTTAGGATTCTTGCTTCCAGGATTATTGCAATTCTATTCACACTGTGGAAAAGAACAATCAGGATGTGGAATTCTCTGTAAGAACAATCAGGATGTGGAATTCTCTGCCTGAAGAAGTGGTTTTATCAGAGTCCATACAGATGTTCAAACAGCTACTAGATGCATACTTGCAAGAACAGAATATTCAAGGATATAATCTTTCAATGTAGGGTAATAACTGCTTGATCCAAGGATAAATCTGACTGCCATTCTGGGGTCAAGAAGCTTTCCTAGCTTGTTGCAAAATTGTGCTTCAAACTGGGTTTTTGTGCCTTCTTTTGGATCAACAGCAAAAAACAAATGTGAGGTAGGCTGAACTTGATGGACGCAGGTCTCTTTTCAGCTATGTAACTATGTAACTATCTCTGGCGGCGAAACCTCTCTACCCATCAGGGTGTCCGCCACAGTATACAGAGAAGAGTGTGCAAAAAATCTCACTGTGAGCGTGTATAAGATCATTTTACACGGGTAAAGGGGCTGGAATGTTTAATAAAGTTTCTAGTGTAAAATAAAGTGTGCTTAAGACGGGCTTCTGAGAGCTGCAGCTTGAAGATGGACTTCCTATGCATTTCAATTATTCAGTACAGTATAAGGACAGCCTTATGGTAAAAGGTTCATGTGGATTAGATCACATGTGCAACCCAGAAATAATAGGAACCAGCATTTGGATTACTTGATATTAAAATCAGGTGATTTCAGACTATGCTTTGCATGATATAGTTTCAAACTTCTTATTTATACTTATCCTTAGTATGATGAGATTAGTTTTTTTAAACTGATGTGCACTATTATCTGTTTACACAATAATTAGCTGGTGGCTTGCTAGTTGCTACTGATGACTATATGTCCTGCATACGTACCAGTGTGAGGCTTTGTCCTGCGATTGATATTTAGTCCTTAGTGCTTTGTACATTTGTACAAATATATAGTCCTTAGTGCTTTGTACAATGAGACAGCCGCTAGAGGCTTTGGGGGAAGGCTTAACCCAATTATAAACATGGCAGTTTCTTTGAAACTGCTATGTTTATAAAAAAATGGGTTAAGCTACCTGGACCTGGCACCCAGACAACTTCATTAAGCTGAAGTGGTCTGGGTGCCTAGAGTGGTCCTTTAAACACACCTATAGTGGACTGTCTTCCTTTCACGGCTCTGACTGACGAGAAATTTGGTGGTATGATGTTGCTGCTCGTGGGAGCACGATTGGTCCAGTGATAGAGGAAGCCATGCCACCTTAATGAAGTCACGTGTGGAAGAGAGGACAGTGGCGCTGATAGAGTCTCGGTTCTGGAAAAGATAAGTATAAAGGGGGGGAGGATTGAATACAACTAGTGACGGGACACCTGTATTTCTAATGCTATAGTATTTCTTTATAATAGCGGATAGGATATTTTCTTTACCTATGCGTATGGATATTTAAATATAATTTGTGCATTTGATTTTTACAGATAAACTAAATTGCACACCACACGTTTTTGGGTTTTGCTTTTTTATCTGACTAATAGATTTATTGGAAAGGTAATTCAGTGATCAATTGTTTATAAAAAAAATAATCGTTAATTGCAGCATTTCTATAAACAATAATGCAGATTCAGAGATCTTATGGTTGACATGAACAGGGGTGAGCATTCCTAAAAGGCAGACGGGCCCCCATCACCAAAGAGGGGTCATGTCAGCCTGGCTGTCTGCTATGCTGGTCAGCCCTATGCAGGGTAGCCCATACAGACAAAGTTTATGATGAGCTTGTGTACGAACCAAATTCCTTGAATCCATTTTTGACAGCACATCTAAAGACGTTTGCATGAGAAGTTTGCGAAGCTGGTATTGGGGACATTGTTTGTGAAGCAGGACACAAAGGAATAAACCCGAGATGGAGCCTCAAATCGATACTGTCTTGGTGAGTCCTGGAAAGTTGAGAAGTAAGATCTACATTTACACTAGAAGAATATACCAGTCAGTACTTAGTCAATGGACAGCAAGTCCAGTTGGTGGTATTCCTCAAGTGGTGAAGCAGGATCCAAGGGTCGGTGATCCCAACCTGCGCATTCTGTATAACCGTTAAAACCATCAGCATTGTTATAGTAAAAGAGGTGTTTGTTTTTTGTTTTTTCCAGATGGATCTTATAAGAGGGAGATTATTTTAAATGAATCTTATATGCATTATTTTGTCTGCAATAGAGACGTGACCTGATGGCAGGGTAGGTGGTTATTTTATAAGTGTTAGGTATGTAATCTTTTAGCAGGGAATATTCGAGTTGTTCTGGATGTCATGGGGATGTGATTTAGTGACAACATGGGGTAATCATGGTTGTAACAGGGATGCGATTGTATAGTAGGAGAGTGGGGTATTTTGGCTGTGCTAGGGGTGTGATTGTATAGCAGGAGAGGGGGGTATTTTGGCTGTGCTAGGGGTGTGATTGTATAGTAGGAGAGGGGGGTATTTTGGCTGTGCTAGGGGTGTGATTGTATAGTAGGAATGGGAGGTATTTTGGCTGTGCTAGGGGTGTGATTGTATAGTAGGAATGGGAGGTATTTTGGCTGTGCTAGGGGTGTGATTGTATAGCAGGAGAGGGGGGTATTTTGGCTGTGCTATGGGTGTGATTGTATAGTAGGAGAGGGGGGTATTTTGGCTGTGCTATGGGTGTGATTGTATAGTAGGAGAGGGGGGTATTTTGGCTGTGCTAGGGGTGTGATTGTATAGTAGGAGAGGGGGGTATTTTGGCTGTGCTAGGGGTGTGTGATTGTATAGTAGGAGAGGGGGGTATTTTGGCTGTGCTAGGGGTGTGATTGTATAGCAGGAGAGGGGGGTATTTTGGCTGTGCTAGGGGTGTGTGATTGTATAACACTGGAGGTGGGGGTTATTTAATATAACACACGGGAGGTTGTTGTTACAGTAACCGTGATGTGAATGTTGCACACTGGTTGTATGAAGCTCCTGTAGCAGTATTCTGATTGCAGTGATCGTGCTGAGTTTCCCGTATCGAAGATTGCAGGTATAGGTGGGTGTTCACATCAGACAGCATATGCCGTCAGCCTACTAATGAGATGCCTACAGCTGCCTCCCTCCTCTTCCAGACCTCCATCTCCCCGTTCGCTTTCATTAAGGCATTCTTTGTTTATCCATCATCCTTCCAGAAAATTTCCCACCATTTGGCTCCATTTCTCATTTATATTTTTTCTTCCCTCCCGTTTGACTCTGTGGAGCCCATTTACTCTCTTTATTGTCTTGGTATCCGTTCGAACATTCTACCTATTCTCTATTCTTCTCTTTTCGCGATTTTCATTCCCACTGCATATCTATACCAATCTCTCCATCTTTTACTTTCCATATTTGTTCCCTCAATCGCTTAGAATCCTCCAATTTCCTTCCCCAAATCTTTTATCTGTTACCTTCTATTTTTTGCAATTTCTCATCCCTTTTCATTCTGCTTCTCCCCCTCCCACCATCCTGCTTTTTCCTTTCTCCCTCCTGTCCTTCGCAGGCTGTGATTCAGGGAGGGTACCGAAATGTCTGACAGCTGTGTCTCCTCCCTCTGAGCTGAACCCCTGGACCGTGATTGGGAGGGAGAATATCTGGACGATGCCCACAGGTCTGTGAAAAGCTGGGGAAATGGAAGGGGATAACTTTATTAACTGAAAATAAATATGATGCATTCTGCCTTTAAAATATATATCACATATTTAATTGTATTACAGTAACCCGGCTCCTGAGTGCCTTTTTACCCTATAACATCTTATTACAGTAACCCAGCTCCTGAGTGCCTTATTACCCTGTAACATCTTATTACAGTAACCCGGCCCCTGAGTGCCTTATTACCCCGTAACATCTTATTACAGTAACCAGGCTCCTGAGTGCCTTACTACCCTGTAACATTTTATTACAGTAACCCGGCTCCTGAGTGCCTTATAACCCTGTAACATCTTATTACAGTAACCCGGCTCCTGAGTGCCTTATTACCCCGTAACATCTTATTACAGTAACCAGGCTCCTGAGTGCCTTACTACCCTGTAACATTTTATTACAGTAACCCGGCTCCTGAGTGCCTTATTACCCCTTAACATTTTATTACAGTAACCCGGCTCCTGAGTGCCTTATTACCCTGTAACATCTTATTACAGTAACCCAACTCCTGAGTGCCTTATTACCCTGTAACATCTTATTACAGTAACCCAACTCCTGAGTGCCTTATTACCCTGTAACATTTTATTACAGTAACCCGGCTCCTGAGCGCCTTATTACCCCTTAACATTTTATTACAGTAACCCGGCTCCTGAGTGCCTTATTACCCTGTAACATCTTATTACAGTAACCCGGCTCCTGAGCGCCTTATTACCCCGTAACATCTTATTACAGTAACCCGGCTCCTGAGCGCCTTATTACCCTGTAACATCTTATTACAGTAACCCGGCTCCTGAGTGCCTTATTACCCTGTAACATTTTATTACAGTAGCCCGGCTGCCGAGCGCCTTATTACCCCTTAACATTTTATTACAGTAACCCGGCTCCTGAGTGCCTTATTACCCTGTAACATTTTATTACAGTAACCCAGCTCCTGAGCGCCTTATTACCCCTTAACATTTTATTACAGTAACCCAGCTCCTGAGTGCCTTATTACCCTGTAACATCTTATTACAGTAACCCGGCTCCTGAGTGTCTTATTACCCCGTAACATCTTATTACAGTAACCCAGCTCCTGAGTGACTTATTACCCTGTAACATCTTATTACAGTAACCCGGGTCCTGAGTGCCTTATTACCCTGTAACATCTTATTACAGTAACCCAGCTCCTGAGTGCCTTATTACCCTGTAATATCTTATTACAGTAACCCGGCTCCTGAGTGCCTTATTACCCTGTAACATCTTATTACAGTAACACAGCTCCTGAGTGCCTTATTACCCTGTAACATCTTATTACAGTAACCTGGCTCCTGAGTGTCTTATTACCCTGTAACATCTTATTACAGTAACCCAGCTCCTGAGTGCCTTATTACCCTGTAACATCTTATTACAGTAACCGGGCTGCCAAGCGCCTTATTACCCTGTAACATTTTATTACAGTAGCCCGGCTGCCGAGCGCCTTATTACCCCTTAACATTTTATTACAGTAACCCGGCTCCTGGGTGCCTTATTACCCTGTAACATCTTATTACGGTAACCTGGCTCCTGAGTGCCTTATTACCCTGTAACATCTTATTACAGTAACCCGGCTCCTGAGTGCATTATTACCCTGTAACATCTTATTACAGTAACTTGGTTCCTCAGTGCCTTATTACCCCATAACATCTTATTACAGTAACCAGGTTCCCAAGTGCCTTATTACCCCCTGTAACATCTTATTACAGTAACACAGCTCCTGAGTGCCTTATTACCCTGTAACATCTTATTACAGTAACCCGGCTCCTGACTGCCTTATTACCCTGTAACATCTTATTACAGTAACCCGGCTCCTGAGCGCCTTATTACCCTGTAACACCTTATTACAGTAACCCAGCTCCTGAGTGCCTTATTACCCCATAACATCTTATTACAGTAACCCAACTCCTGAGTGCCTTATTACCCCGTAACATCTTATTACAGTAACCCGGCTCCTGAGCACCTTATTACCCTGTAACATCTTATTACAGTAACCCGGCTCCTGAGTGCCTTATTACCCTGTAACATTTTATTACAGTAACCCGGCTCCTGAGTGCCTTATTACCCTGTAACATCTTATTACAGTAACCCGGCTCCTGAGTGCCTTATTACACTGTAACATCTTATTACAGTAACCCAACTCCTGAGTGCCTTATTACCCTGTAACATCTTATTACAGTAACCCGGCTGCCAAAGCGCCTTATTACCCTGTAACATCTTATTACAGTAACCCGGCTCCTGAGTGCGTTATTACCCTGTAACATCTTATTACAGTAACCCGGCTCCTGAGTGCCTTATTACCCTGTAACATCTTATTACAGTAACCCGGCTCCTGAGTGCATTATTACCCTGTAACATCTTATTACAGTAACTTGGTTCCTCAGTGCCTTATTACCCCATAACATCTTATTACAGTAACCAGGTTCCCAAGTGCCTTATTACCAGGGGAGGGCTGGCAGCCTTAGGCCTGGGGGGAAAAAACAGTCAAGTGGCCCATTGCACCACCAAATCAGTTCACCATCCATGCCCACCTGGTTTTATAACGGATATTGATGTTATGCTAATCAGTAGCTCTTTGCCATACCCGCTCCTTCACGGCTCTGACTTTCAATGTTGTCAGAGCGCAGGCTGAGAATCTCTGAGCCTGTTCTCTGATTCACTAACTGAGCGCCAGAACCATGGCGCACCAGTGGACCACCAGCGAATCATTTAAATTTAATATGCTGGGGTCCCCAACTTGTGAGCTGTGTTGGCCGCCGGGCGCCTCTGTTGTCATGGCACCCTGCGTGACCGCACAGCTTGCACACCCCAACGGCTGGCCCTGCTGACACATACTGATGTTACTACTTAGAAATCCCTCAATATTAATACAGGCATCAGAGTAAACACCAATAAACTGTGCAAACAGAGCTGATCCCCCCAAAGATTTGCTTAATGGATTTGTTGTAAGATTAAATCATGCCTCCTCCTCTCCCTCTCCCATGCGCTGCGCTGTAGGCTGGGAGGAAGTGAAGAGTAATCACATTCTCCCAGCACAGCGCCACCTGTGGCTGCATGGGCAACATCGCTGCAAAGGGCTCCAGGCACTGCTTGCTGTGAGTGTGAGCCACTGTAAATTAGGGGCAGAGGGCACTTGCACTGCGGTAAAGACAGGTCTGGGCAGGAGGAGAGTGCAGTGCAATCCCCTCCTGTGGGTCACCAGTAGACTGGTGCACCTGCCCAGTATCAGAGCCGGTGCAAGGATTTTTGCTGCCCTAGGCAAGGAAAAGTGGCTGCCCCATGTGACATCACAATGCCCCACCTATATAATCTGCCATATGAACTAATGCCAAAGCTGCACACAGTGTGTGTTTTGCAT